ATGTACAAAATAGGATAGATATATAGCTACTTTTTCTTAATTCAATGAGAAGACATATTAATAGTGTTTGGACAGGATATCATGTCTGCATCTTGTACTATGAATAACTACTATGAAGACAATAATATGTAATGTATTAATTATTGTAACTATCCTACTAACCTGTTTTGAAACTGTCTCATTTCTACTTGTTTCCCAATAAAACAAATTAAAAAAAAATACGTCGGGAACAGGAGTGGGTTTCAAAGTCAGAAAGACTGGATTGTGAGGCTTGAATGAGGTGACCCTGGCCAAAGACCTAAACTTCTCCAAGCCTCAGTGTTCTCACACATCCCCAGCCCTAAAACATGCTCCTTTATCAGACTCCTGCTCTTTCAACTGGCTCTTGGGAACCAGTTTCTTCTGGATCATATCCAGGAAAGAGAAATCAGCATTCAGACTCTGTGGCTCACTGGCTGACCTCACGAAGGCTCAATTTCAACACCTGTCAAGTGGGACTACTTTATGGGGTCATTGTGAAGATTCAGTGTATTTATTCCTGCTGGGTGCTTAACACAGTGCCTAAGCACAGCGGGTACTTGTCTAGTAATGACTGGTAGTGTTACAGAACCTGAACTGAGTGGGTTTGCCTTGAAAAGTCCTGAATACCTCAGCAACTCCACAGGTTGGAAAAACAGGGTCTGAGGGTCTGGGTCCTCAGGAGCTGAATCACTAGTGTCACTGCCAGAACACAGCCTTCCAAGGGTGTCTCCAGCCCGGGACTGCCTACCCACAAGCAGTGGGATATGAAGACCTATCTTACCAGGCCAAGGTTCAAGGTGTTGTTGTCATCTTCCGGCATGGGCAGGTACACAGCCAGGGCCACACAGTTGGCAAAGATGGTGAGCAAGATGATGGTCTCGAAGGGTCTGATGCCATGGTTAAGGAGAGCCCCCAGTGAGGAGTGCAGCTCACAGGATTGAGGAGAAGAGGGCACTAAGGGTCAATCTGGACTGTGACTACAATGCCACAGGGAGGGGGTTGCTCCTGGGGACAGAGAGCACAGGGTCCATCCCTGCTGTCCTGCAGGTTCCCACTGGGGTACCTGGCTCTCTCCCTCAAGAACAGGTACTTCCTCTTAAGCTCCTGCAGACCTCAGGGCTGGAACCTGGCTGAAACTAAGCACATTTTGCTCCTCCACTCTTAGTACCTCCTATTGTCTGTGCCTCCCATGGAGCCAGGACTTTCTGAGACAGTGGCCAGGCAACCCTCTGAGGGGTCACTTAGAGAAAGGTCCATGAAGACTGGGGGCCAGATGCAGGTTTGAATGAAGCTGCCTTAGGGCAGCCCTGGAGAGAAGGAAGAGCCTTATGAGTGTGCACCTGTCACACCTCCCCTCTCCCAGAACTCTGCTTTTCTTGATTTGCTTTCATTAGAAAGTAAGGGTGTAGAAAGAGCTAGGGAAGGAAAAAGGGTGGGTAGTATGTGGTTGGGGGAAAGGGCACGGGGGGAGGCACCCTGCTGAGAAGGGTTGACTTGAACAATGCCATTTCCTTCCCAGATAGCTCTAGTGTTGGACAATAGAGAAGGCCTTGCAGCAGAGGCTTACAGCAAGAGAAGGGTTGGGGAAGGGAGGATGGAGAAAAGGGAGAAGTGGTGCAGTCGGCCTGCTCTGATCACTGAGGCAGGGAGGGAGAGGCCCAGAGCCTGACCAGGCTGACCTGCCCCCACACGCACTCTCCACTGCCTTCTAGTTATCCCTCCTCCCATCTTCAGATGGGCAGCTGGAGGGAGCCCATCTTCCACAGCCCCGTAGAAATATTTCAAGCATTCCTGATCCTCTCAGAATTCATTCAACATAGGCCTCCTGTCCTCTGTAGCTTCTTCCTCCTTTCCCCAAATAGCCCAGATATTTTCATCACTCTTCCTCCTCTCTGAGCTCAGGCAAAATAGAAGGGGATTTGAAGTCCCTGTCCCTAGGGTAGTAAGTCTGAGCCAAAGCAGCCAGACTTGCTAGGCCCAATCTTGGAGCTGCTAAGGGCAGCCCATCCTTCAAACCCAGTTCTCTTCCAGCTCCACTCCCCAGCCGGGCCTGGGTCCAGGGAAGCCTTCCTTCAACTGTCACACTCTTCACTTTTGCCCCTCCCATCAAGGGAACTGATTTCCTCAGAGAGGCTACTGCTCCCCACCCCCGCCATCTTATTCCAAACTGAGACCATGCCTTCAAAATCCTGAGGGCACCCCACGGGGCTAAGGCCTGAGGCACAGCTGAAAACAGTCCCCATGCATGGCCCACTCCCTCAGATGGTGGATGGTCTCTCTGGTTGGGTGGCCCTTCAAACCCCAGGAAGCCCTCCAACCCCAGCCCTGCTCTCCTGCATAGAGGAGGTCTTTCTTCCTTCCTAAAGGTTCCTCAGGCCCTGCTGAGGCAGCTCAACCCAGCCCAAAGCCCAGTCACCCCAACCCTGCAAGTCTGTGCTCGGTGACCACCCCCACGTCACACACAGTCCCCCACTGCTGGCCTGAAGGATACTTCCATTCCACGATGTTGATGCAGGCCTTCCTCAGGGGGTTCTGCAGGGTCAGACAGAACAAGGCCCGGGGTGGCCTGGGCAGAATCTCAGGAACTGGCTTCTTGGGCTGTTTCTTCCTCAGGTTCTCATCCTGGGGTGAGGACGGCTCCATGGCTTCCCTAGCAACCTCCTGTTTCCCTGCTTCCCCACCCCACTGCCTTCTCCCTGTTCCCCTACCTTGGGAACTGGGTCCGGCTGAGCCTGTCCTGCTGAGCCAGCCTGGTGGGGACAGGACTGGGGGTGGAGGATTACTCTTCCTGCTCCCAGCGAGTAAAATTAGCCTCCTCTGGCTCCCTGCTGCCCAGTCTGAGCTGCTGAGGCCAGGCAGCTGTCACTGCTTCCAGCCCTGCCTCTGACATCCCAATTCGTCCCCTGAGGAAGGTGGGGGCTGGGAAAGGAGCTTACACACAGGCCTAGGATAAAACAGAGGCACAGGTGACTGACACAAGGTTTCAAGGCTGGGGCAGTAGAATTCAGAAAGGGAGCAACTGAGGGGTGCAGTCCCAAACTTCAGACTGGGGCCTTGCGGCACTGTCCCGAGAAAGTGCTGGATGGCTTAGCTCAGCACAGCTCCACAGCACCCCCTACCTCCTATCTCAGTACCTGCAGAGATCTGTGCAAGCCTTCTCCTTCTCACCTGATCACGCCGGCCTCTGTCAGGGAACAGTGAACCCCTCACACTGGGTCAATGGCGACGGAAGGCTCCTAGGACAAGCTCAAAAGCAGTCACTGCTGACCCTGAACCTGCCATACTTCACAGTGACACCAGGCCTCCTCCCTCCCTTAATAGCACGAGGGTCTGAGACTCTACGCACTTCTGCATGCAGACCCTTCAAGAGCTCTGTACACATTAAGAGAACGCCCCCCCCCCACATCCCAGCCCGATGAGGTTGAGTGTGAATGAGAAAGGAGCTGGGGCCAGGTGCCAGCAGACAATAGTCTGCACAGTTCTTTTATTTAGCTCTCTAGTGCAAACACAGTGCTGGTGGACTCCAGAGGCCTGCAAGCCTTAGGGTAGGAACTGTACTTAACCTAGGAAAATCCTGGAGGCCACACCGAGGGATAGGGCATGTGTGTGTGTGTGTGGGGGGGGGGTATGATCGCCCTCCATCCGAGAAGCCAGAAACCCACAAGTGGACACACGTGGCCTCCTTATGAGAACATCTGTGTCCCTGCGGTGCTGGGTGCCCCTCTCAAGGCTCAGTGAGTTCCCCGAACTGAAGCATCTTCCAAATGGGGCACATCAGAATTAAAGCGTTCCAGGGGACTGGGGAGATGAGACAGGGCTGCCCTGCAGGGACAGAGTACAGAGCAGAGTCTCTAGAGTCAGGCTGGGCTCTAAACTTCTTCAACGCAGGCTGAGGCAGAGCAGGAGTTTGACCCAGGGAGCGTCAGTCCTGGGTGGCCCCCTGCAGCTGTCCCAGGCAGCAGACAGCAAGGCACTCAAGAGCTGCTCCGGGCCCAAGATGGTGGGGGCGGGAGCGCACCGGACCTCCAAGTTTTAGTCCCCTGCCCTGAGAAGGGGGGTGGGTAGGGAGCGGGCGGGCGGCTCCCCGGAGTTGGTCCACCGGCTGCAGGGCATCAGTGGCTGGATTCCTCTGACTCAAAGAATGGCGAGCAGGAGAAGCTGGAGGATTCCGAGTGCTCGGGGACCAGCGAGGGGGGCGCCAGAGCCTCGCCATCACCGGGGCAGTCGGGTCCGGAGGCGGCGGGCAGCGAGGGGCCGGGGCTGCCATCAGGGGCCGCGCTCAGCAGCTCCTGCAGGTACTTGATGTAGCGGATGGCGGCGCGCAGCGTCTCCACCTTGCTAAGCCGCTTCTCGGCCAGGGCTCCGGGCAGGTGGCCGCGGAGGCGCGCGTAGCCCTCATTGACGCACTTGACCCGCTGCCGCTCGCGCTCATTGCGCTTCTGGATGAAGGCAGGTTCGAAAGGGCAGTCGTAGACCCCGAAGGCGCCGGGGAAGGGCACGTAGGGCAGCACCCCGGGGTAACCATCGTAGTAAGGCGGCTCGGTGGGCGCCGGGTACAGCAGGAAGGGCGCGTTGCCCAAGGGCTCGGCAGGGCGCAGTGGCGCCGGCCTGGGTGGGGGCACGACACCCAGCTGCATGCAGTTAGGGGACCCCACGGGCCTCGGGTCCACCAGGGCCCGGCAGAAGTTATTGTTCATGGTGTCGCGGGGAGCCGGACCCAGAGTGAGAGGAACCCTGAGTGGTCCCTGCTGGGGGTCTGCCCGGTCTGACCACGGGAACAAGTCACATTGCCAGCAGCACCTCTGCAGCACTTGCTAGGGTCTCTTTTTGTCCCTTGGAGTGGCTTCTAGGAACTCCCTGATGCGAGCCATTGCTCTGGAGAACCGTGGTCCCTTGCAGCGGCTCCGCAGGCACACTTTCCAACCCCGCTCGGGGGCTGCAGATCTCTGAAGGTCCTCGTTGTCTTCCACTCCACTCACGGGCAGAGTCGGAGCTGTGTGACCTGCTCCCTGCAGCCTTGCGTGGGCACCGCCTGCTGACACTAGCGGAGAGCCTTCAAGCCAGTGTGTGTAGGGGGAGCTCCAGGGCCTGGTTCTTGTTCCTCCAGCCTTGGTGATCCCCAGGCTATCTGAGGGTCCCGTGTTGAAGGCAACTGTCAGGACCGCACCACCTCAGCAGAAGGGGACTTTTTTTTTTTTTTCTAAAAAAGAGGATAGTGACTGTGTTAGGGGCTTCTTTGTGTCCCTCTCAGCACCAGAGGGATCGTTGCATTGTGAGGGGGAGGGAGTGTTGCTTCTGGACATGTGCAGATTGGGGTTCAAATCACCCCTGAATAGCCTCCTTGAGCCCTGATTTCCATAAACGAAAGCACTGAAAACATCCCTCACAAGAGATCAATAAGATAGGAGAATCAAATATGGAAAAAGTGTATCCCAAAACCCCACCTCTAGCACCTGGCTGAAGCAAGTGTCCAGTGTTCCCTTTGCAGTTTTTTTGATATGATGAAGTATAAAAATGCCCCATGATGTCATTTCCTTTGAGAATTTGGATTACTTCCAGGAACGAAGATTTGAAAGGGGGCTCAGAAATGACCTATTGGCAGTTGGGACTGCAGCAGCAATCATAAGTTAACCCTTGTCAAGAAAAACTCAGACAGTGTTAGCACTTTCAAAGCCCTCAGTGGGGCAGAGTCAGTGGCCAACACCTTGCCTGCCTGGACCATGTGAGCCCTGGATACACCCTCCGTCCACCCCGGGCTTTTTTCAGAGGAGTTTCTCCTTGCACTGCGGCATACCCTGAGCCCAGTTGGCCTTGACAAGTAATAATGTTCCACAGACCTTGTTGAATAAGTGAGAGAGGGGCTTAGGGGGGAGTGGGGCTTAATTACATGTAGCCTTTCCCAGGTTTTAGGAAGCTGTTATTTCAGAAATAATTGGTCTGTGTTGAGTTTAAGTGCCACCAAGCCTCCTCACCGGTGATTACCAGATCCAGGTTAAGTGTTTCTCCTAGGAAGCCGCTCTGCCCTCGCTGCCCGCTCTTGTGCGTGTCCAGCCTTGAGCACCATCTTAATGCTCATCACACTGTTACTGCTCTCCTCTGTTTTCTGAATGAACAGGTGAGTACTGTGTCCACAGAGGCCAGGAAGTGTGGGGCCATGGGCAGGAGACTGAGCTCCTCCATGAGACAGAAAGGGGCCTGCTCTCTCCCTGATGAGTCGGTCAGTGGCAAACTCAGATTCCTAGGGGCATCCTCTGTGCCCTCCCGCCTTTGTCCTTTAGCAGACCTTGAGTCTTTTCCTAGCCAGCTTTGTCTTCCATGCTGAATGAGAACCTAAAAATAGCAACAAGGATTCAAAGCATCATGATACTTGTGTGTGTTCTCAAGTAAATAAATATGCAGGAGAGAATGGGACCGATTCCCATATACTCCCCTTCTCCACAGTCTCTGAGGGCTTCTTAGTGTTTTAAAGAGAAAGTTCTAGAACACCTCCTCTTCCAAATGAACACATGCTTCCATCGGGTCAGTGAAGCTTCCGATACTCTGCCTCGTCCTCACACCTCACTCTGACTCTGGCTCTGGGGCCTTGGTAGCCCTCTCTGCTCTGCTCAGCCCTGTCATCCATAGGGAAAGGCGCAGACACAGCTTCTGTCATGCTGTGGAGCCTTCTACCTTCTAACAGGGGCTTTCAAGACTGAGAATTCGGAGATTCACCAGGAGCATCCAGAGGACCGCGCTAGTGTCTGCTTCCTCAGTGCCCAGCCCCAGCCCTTCAGTCAGTACCGGGCACATAAAGCCTGCTCAGTGTGCCTGCTAGCAGCTTTCTTCTGTAAGTTTGGCATCCAGCCTGTCCTCCCCCATGTGTTGCCCGTCTGGTTACAGTCAACCTAATTCTTTAAACTTTGATCTGATAGAGGTTAGAAATGTATTTGCATAAATGATAATTTTAAGAGATATGACTTAACCTCTGCTGGTATTTCAATACTCATAGCTTATTTAATTTTAAATTAAATTACTGATATCCTATTTACATTTTTTTTTTCATAAAACTGGCTCAGGCAAGAAGCGTCATGGCAGGACCGTGGGTCACTCTGTGAGTTTTATTTTTGCTGCTAGAACAGAATGGATACCTTGCCAGGGAGAACAAGTAGGAACACACCTTGAGTGCGAGGTTCTTCCCTGTCACAGGCCCTCTACCCTGCACAGGAGCCGAGTGAAGTGGCCTGGCCCGTCATTGCTAAGCAGCCTGATACGCTGTAGAAATACACGGAAGGCCTTCCACACACAGAGATCACACCGGTACTGGTGCAAAGCAGTCACCAGCACTATCATGAAACACCTACAACCACAGCTATTGCTTATCATTTATGACATGCAAGACACTGCTAAGTGCTGGGTATGAGTCATCTTGTTGGTCCTCACACCATTCTTGTTCCTATGATCCAGTTTCCTGGGTGAGCCAGCGGGTACATAAAGGTTAAGTCAGCTGCCCCAGGTGCCATGGTTAGTAAAGATGGACTAATAAATAATAACCAACTTTCTCTTCTTTCCCCAGTATTTCTTCTAGTGTCTTCACCTCGATCGAAGAATCAGAAAGGTTTACAGAAAGGTTTGTTAGATCAATATCTAACAAAAGTATCTTAGTGAATTATGATTCCTGTTGGAGAGAAGTGACACTGCAGTGCAAGGTTCTAGTGCTGGTGTTTACCTCTGCTGTGGCAAGAGTATTGCAGGTCACTTTGGTTGTCCTAGGGAAGACAATGTTCCCTGCAAGATGTTCTTACCAGGGTAGCTCACAGAGTCCTGTCGCTGGGAAAAGGACTGAGTAAAGCACCAGGAGCTACCTGCAGGGAGCTCCCTTGCCTAGGCTTAGGAAACTGCGGTAGATCCCCTGGCAGGGCAGAACCTGGCAGCAGCCAGAGTCTGCCTACAGGTTCAGTTCGCTTGCCTGGGTGGAACTAGCTGTCAACAGCGCCACTGTGTGGTGAGAAGAAGCAATGGCAGGGGCAGGTGGGTGTGGTTCCAGGTCCCCATGGCGCACATAACTGTAATTCCCCGTGGTGTTTTGGAAATTCAGGGTAAGAGAGGACCCTCAAGAAAGAGCTACTGTAATTTCTGTCAGATGACTAATTTTTCCCCTTGAGTTAATGAAGGAATTCGCATCACTTAAATTTTCCTGATCTACAGATAGATAAATAGATATAATTAGATGTATTTTAAAAAATAAAAATAGTTCATTGCTTCAGTACTGGGCAATTTACAGAATGCAAGAGAGTCGAAAATGGCAGACAGCAGCCTTCTCCCCGTGCACTAGCCACAGTGGCCACTATTGAGACCATGCTGTTGAGTGGGGAGTGGGGAGCAGGTCTGGTGCCTGCGGTGGGCAGGTGGTACCAGGCGTCCTGCCACCCAGCTTCTCGGGAGGCATTCTCCAAGCCTTCTTGTCATGCCTGTGACATAGGCACAGTTGTGCCCCATACAGTTTCTATTTGTGGTGGGCCAGCTCTCTCCAGACACTGCAAAGCGCTTTGTGATCTTCAATCCACTGTGCGGCAGAGGACTAACCTGGCAGTTGTGTGCGGGGAGAGGCCCAGCCTTGGCCCTAGCGCCTTCTGCTGCTCATTGTGCAATGTGTGATGTCTGCCTCACCAGCACGAGCCCCTTCCTGTCGCGTGAAGCCGGAGGCTCTACTTGTGACCCCTCCTGAAGGATGGTGGGATGCCATTGCAGCCCGCAGTAGATGGCTATCATCAACCTGCTGATCCTTGTCCCAGACCTCTCCTGGGCACCCTATGCTTACCAGGCTCCCTTGCCCCAGCCTTAGATTCCTGGTGGCCTCCCAGGGTTCTTCTTGCCCCTTACCCAGCCCTCCTGGCAAATTAAGCATGAGAACTCTGGCCTCATACTTTGCTTTGAGGCACACAATTCAGGTTTAATAAATGTTTGTTGATTGACACTGATGGGACCCTCTAGAAAGGGCTGAACTACTCATTCAGCAAAGGCAGATCAGATCTTAGAATAGGGTGGGCTGCTTAAAGAACAGACAACACCATTTACTTTCTCAGCCTTTCTCACTGTTGTCAATGGGGCTCGAGCCAGAGTTGGAGGTCTGAGTCAGAAATGGGCTGAACTCATCCCTTCCAGTGGGAGGCTCCTGGCTCCAGAAGCAGCTTGGAGGACAGTGAGCTCATGACAGTGCCTCTGCTCCTCCCTCCCCCTGCAAAGTCTTCCACAGGTGATCCGCAACAAGTCTGCCCCCAGAGTGTTCTGCCTTCTTAGCCAGGAAAAGGACTCCAGGTGACAGCACCAGCTCTGTAGCATCCCCTCACACATCCCCCTGCCTCCAGGTTACGTGGTCACAAAGCCTTTGTGCAAAAGGTCCTCTATCAGCTACTCAGAACAACACAACTGGGAGTTGCCCTTCTGGCAATTCATGGGGCACATTTGCCTCCTAGAAGCCCAGCGGCTAAGAAACCTGTTTGCCTTTTAAGCAGCATTTCCAAATGGACTACAGAACATATTTTTTGAATTCCTACGCCTAACATCAAATAGAAAGCATTTGAAGAAATTCTGCCTTAATACCTCCAGAATAAACCTCTTTAAAAAAAGCTGTGACCTCTCCTCTGTTAGAGGTCTGCCTTACAGCCTATGTTTCTAGGACACCTCTCCACTCTCACCATGCATATGTCCCACACTTCCA